CCTCCCACTTCTGTGTGCTCCTCCCGCCTCTGTGTGCTCCTCCCGCCTCTGTGTGCTCCTCCCGCCTCTGTGTGCTCCTCCCGCCTCTGTGTGCTCCTCCCACTTCTGTGTGCTCTAAAAATGTATTGTGTTATAAATCTTAATAAAAATGTATTCTTCAAATAAAATGAGAACATTGTGTAGATGTCTTGAAGCGTCTGCTTTGTGGGGATTGCAGTCAAAAGAGAGGACCAGGTCCTGGTGGAGCCCATCCGGTGTCATAACCCTCAGTAAGGGTCGTGGGTGTTATATACCTAGTTGGACCCAACCTCCCTATCGAAGAATCCACCCGAGACACATCATCCAATCTACCCGAGACACATCATCCAATCCACCCGAGACACATCATCCAATCTACCCGAGACACATCATCCAATCTACCCGAGACACATCATCCAATCCACCCGAGACGCATCACCCAATCCCCCCGAGACACATCATCCAATCCACCCGAGACGCATCATCCAATCTACCCGAGGTGTAAGTATCAAATTTGGTTCAATATTTCATTTAGTTTCCTGAATCTGAGTAGCAGACCGGCCCTCTGACCTCCTGAATCTGAGTATCAGACCGGGCCTCTGACCTCCTGAATCTGAGTAGCAGACCGGGCCTCTGACCTCCTGAATCTGAGTAGCAGACCGGGCCTCTGACCTCCTGAATCTGAGTAGCAGACCGGGCCTCTGACCTCCTGAATCTGAGTAGCAGACCGGGTCTCTGACCTCCTGAATCTGAGTAGCAGACTGGGCTGCTACTGGGCGGAATGACCTGGACGTGATGAGGAGCAGCTCCTCCACTGTGACCTAGGAGGACAAGTGCCCACATGTAGAGTTGGGCCCTGGAAATGATGAAACGTAGTCTGTAGTATTTACATTGAACACTAGGGAGTGATCTAGCGTGGAATCCACAGAAAGGAAGTGATGTCACTCACAGGCAGGAAGTGATATCAGAATCAGACAGGAAGTGATGTCATCAACAAACAGGAAGTGATTTAAAACACAGACCGGAAATGATGTACGAGTTTAAAAAGGAATTTCCAGGGTTAAGGTCAGCTGGGAGGAAGTAGAGAAGAGACATTGCTGGAACTGGAAATTGAGGAGGTAATAAGATGCAGCCATTTATAGACCGGATACATCCTAAATATAGAACTATTTATCCATCTGTCCATCCAGAGCCGCCATTTATAGACCGGATACATCCTAAATATAGAACTATTTATCCATCTGTCCATCCAGAGCCGCCATTTATAGACCGGATACATCCTAAATATAGAGCCATTTATCCAACTGTCCATCCAGAGCCGCCATTTATAGACCGGATACATCCTAAATATAGAGCCATGTATCCAACTGTCCTTCCTTTTACAGATCCGTTCCGTCATCTTTGGGGTGAAGAAATGAAAGACGTCAAAGAAGAAGAAGAGACGTTGAGTCATTGTGTGTCTCCTACAGATGGATCCAGTAAGAGGAACCCACCAGGGAGATGTCCCCATCCTCTGTATTCCCGGGATCCCACCCAGGAAGATCTCACCCTCCCCCACTATGATCAGGTAGGTGGGACTCGGCGTGTAAATATAAAGATGTATTCTAAGCTATGAGGAGACGTTCCCCGATGTAATCTCTTCCCGGTCACATATCTGTTCCGCCATCTTCGGGGTTTAGGGTGAAGATCTGGAAAAAATGAAAGTTGAGGTGAAAGAAGAAGAAGAAGAGACGTTGGTGGGAGGAGCTCAGCAGTCTATGGAGGAGGGGGAGATGATGGTGAAGAGTGAACAGGAGGAATCTTCTCTACATACGGACACAAGTAAGTCATATACACTAAACATAACGTCATGTGACCAACAAATGAGGAGGAGATACTGGACACCATATGAAGGTCCATCTCCGTTCCTCAATATAACGTCATGTGACCAACAAATGAGGAGGAGATACTGGACACCATATGAAGGTCCATCTCAGTTCCTCAATATAACGTCATGTGACCAACAAATGAGGAGGAGATACTGGACACCATATGAAGGTCCATCTCCATTCCTTGTGAGGTTTGTGTGGTTGGTATTTGTAGTTTTGCCGTTATGGGTGCGTCCAATTCATAGCCAGAGTTCTGGGATGGTTCTGAAGCTGTGTATATATATATGATGACCTGAATGTAGAAATATAACATGTATTCATCATTTCTTTACACCAGATGGACATAATGTCTGGAATATAAAGACATCGGAGGGACGTCTTATTATATCTCCAGGCGGTGAAGCAGAAGACGGCGACATTGCGCAACATTCTCCCAAAGTCAATTCTTCCCGTTCAGAGAGATCGATGGATCCGTCCAATCCTGAGGAACCTTCTGATCCATCACGTCACATGACCTCAGATGTCCATCAAGGTCCTCGCAGTGCGGAGAGATCGACTGGTCCACCTGAGCAGTCACCTGCAAGGCATGAAGGAGATCACACGGGTGACCGTCCCTATTGGTGTTCAGAGTGCGGGAAATCTTTCAAGGTGAAAAAATCACTTCTCAAACACCAAATCATTCACACGGGTGAGCGGCCGTATTCCTGTTCACAGTGCGGAAAGACTTTCATTCAGAAAGGACACCTTCTTCAACACCAGAGGCTTCACACGGGTGAGCGACCGTACTCATGTTCGGAGTGCGGGAAAGCTTTCAACGAGAAAGGAAAACTTAATAAACACCAGAGCGTTCACACAGGTGTGCGCCCCTTTTCATGTTCAGAGTGCGGAAAAAGTTTCACCCAAAAAGGAGAACTTCTTCATCATCAGAAAATTCACACAGGTGTGCGCCCCTTTTTTTGTTCGGAGTGTGGCAAATCATTCCAGGAGAAAGGAGCCCTTCTCGTACACCAGAGAATCCACACAGGCGTGCGACCATATTTATGTTCAGAGTGCGGAAAAAGTTTCACTGAGAAAGGAAAACTTCTTCAACACCAGAGAATTCACACAGGCGTGCGCCCCTTTTCGTGTTCAGCGTGTGGGAAAAGTTTCACTCAGGAAGGAACCCTTGTTAGACACCAGAGAATTCACACCGGTGAGCGACCTTATGCCTGTTCCGAGTGCGGGAAATGTTTCATCCAGAAAGGAACCCTTGTTAGGCATGAGAGAATTCACACGGATGAGCGCCCCTACTCGTGTACAGAGTGCGGGAAAAGTTTTATTCTAAAAGGACAACTTCTTCGACACCACAGAATTCACACTAGTCCTTTTTCATGTTCAGAGTGCGGGAAATGTTTCACTCAGAAAGGACCTCTTATTACACATCAGCGAAGACACGCGGCTGAGCGTCCTCGCCGCGTTCAGACTGCGGGATATGTTTTACAGAAAAAAGAAGTCCAATTAGACATCGGAGGGGAACGGACTTGATGATACTTTTGACACGTGTGACGGTAACTACCTCAGATGTTTTGAACTACCTGTGAGGGTGGCTGCCCCCTCCCACCTCTGTGCGCTCCTTGTATGTCTTTTGTTACAAAACCTAATAAAGTGGCAACCAAAATTAAGACTCTGTCTCCGGGGTTGTTGAAGGTTCTGATTTTAGAAGACCGGTTATATACTCTGACCTGGGCCTATGTATGGTACAGGAAGTCCCAGTCTTTTCTATATCAACCACTTTTTCTTTAGCATATCTCTTGGGGTTCTCCTAAACTCTTCTTCTAGCCCATCAGTTTTGGTTGGTGGTCGGATGAGATGCATAGGAGAGTAATGACACAGCTCTTCGGGTACGTTAGCAATACAAGGGGTTCCTTGGCCTATGAAAATGTCCCCAGGAATGCCCCTGCATGACAAAATGTGGAATGGCTCTCTCGCTATAACATCAGGACCATGTAGCGGACCTTCCCTTCACAGATCTTGTCCGCTTCCCAGACCCATATTCCTAAGTGACCGCACATTGTACTTGTATGGCCATGATGACCATGAGCCCGGCTGGGATCTCTCCTCTGAGTTTAGGACATTCCTTGGCGTTCTGAGGTTGTAAGTCAAAGTAGGTCTTCTGGGGCCCCTGGTAAAAGGGTGCTGGCCATCTGCCCCAACCTTCTCTGATGCCAAATCATCCTCCAAAGACAGTTTCTGTAAATTTATCTGCACCAGCTTTTGAGGTGTAGAAGTCACCCCCC